AAGATCCCTCTCACGAGCAGCTACTCGCTGTTTGGCTCTATCCATGTTCACGCGGGCCTTCTCATGAATGGCTTGGATGCCCTCGACTATCAGCTTGGTGGCATCTTGCAGGTCAATGTCCTTCCCTGCCGACTCGTTAAGGGCAACGAGCCGCACAGTGCTGCCGGGATGGACTGCCTCTCGCCCTGTCAGCATTTTGAAAGGCGTGAATCCGGTGGATTGGTGCTCCGTTGTGCGGTACGCATAGAGGAAGACCTGGATGGCCCTGTCCCAGTTCGTCTGCTTCTTGTCCAAGTACGGACGAATGCCATCCTTCAGAGAGCGATTGAAACGCTCAATCATCCCATTGCCTTGTGGATGCAGCGGTGAAGCCCGAGTATGTTTGATCCGCAGCCTGGTCGTCACCTTATGCATCAATTGGTTGACGAAGTGGCTCCCATTGTCGGTGATGATCTCTTCCGGAACTCCGTGTCTCGCGATGACCCTGATGATTGCCTTAACCGTGTCTTCACCGGTCGGTGCACTGCGGAAAGACTCAACCTCTGGCAATTTCGTGAAGTCATCCTGGATGGTAAGCGCCCACTGATTGCCATCTTCTGAAGGTTGAAACGGACCGATGAAGTCCATGGCCACCCTCTGGAATGGTCTCTCAACTGGCGGTATCTGTATGCTCGCTCTCTTGTTTGTCCTCAGGTTTCGTTTGCTCTCGCAAGCTGGACAAGCGTCGATATGCTTGCGAAGGTCGCCATACATCCCTGGCCAGTAGAACTCTCGCGCCATGCGCTTGTAAGCCCTCTCAATTGCCAGATGGCCAGCCAAGAGGTGTTGATGGTGCAGCTTCATGGCCTCTAATCGCAGCGACGTGGGCACCAGCAACACAGGTCCATGCTCTTGGTGCTTCGACACGACTCTCACCAGCCTATCCAGTAGGCAAGCATCGTCAAACTTCGACCAATATGATTTCGGAATGGTGTCACGCAGCTGATCGAGCTCTCCTTTGCTTGTGTTGTTGTCCTTGGCCTCCAGGTACGCCTTCACGCGTGAGACGTCAGCACACTGGTCCTGGGCCTCCATGGTCTGGTCAAGATGGAACAAGTGGCTATCCTCCATGGCCTCAAGGTCAATTGCCCCGAGTTGATACTCATGCACATCGACCGAAGCAGGGATGTCTCCCATGTTTTCTTGTCCAGGAGGTCTCGAGAGCGCGTCAACGTCTGTGTGCTCCTTCCCAGGTCGATGACGGAAGATAAAATCGTAGTCCTGCAACATCAGCGACCATCGTTGTAGCTTCCGGTTGCCCTCCTCTGCGAATCGCAGCGCTCTCAATGCTTGATGATCCGAAACCAGCTCAAATCGATGCCCGAACAGGTACGGACGGAAATGACGAACGGCATAGTAGATGGCGTGCGCCTCCCTTTCTGTTGCTGACCACTTTCGCCCAGAGACACCGAGAATCGCACTTGCATAGTGGATCGGTCTCTCCTTGCCGTTGCAGTCTCGCTGACAGAGAATCGCGCCAACCGCATAGCCGCTCGCGTCCGTCTTGAGAATGAATGGCTTCTTGAAATCAGGCAAGGCCAACACAGGTGCCTGAATCATCTTGTCCTTCAGTGACTGGAATGCCCGCCTCTCTCTTTCTCCCCACACGAATGGGTTGCTCTTCTTTGTCAGGTCAGTAAGCGGCCTCGCCAAGTCGGCATAGCCATCTACAAATCGTTTGTAGAACTGGAAGACACCTAGGATGCTCCTCACTTCCTTCTTGTCTGTCGGCTCAGCCATGTGGACCATCTTTTCAATCTTCTTCGGATCAACTTGCAGCCCGTGCTCAGAGACGAGGAAGC